GAATCTTTCAGTATGTTTTGTAAAAATTTTAAAGCTGTGTTTTAAAAAGAAATAAAAAAGTCTTTCCAAATGAAGTCTAAGTCTTCATTTGAGACGATTTTCTTACTATTTTTTAAACTAATTTTTTAGTACAAAAATTTTAACTTTTATATGAGAAAGCTCCTTTAAGAAGTAGTAAGAAATCCGTCCTAGGCTTCATTTGAGACAACTTATGACTACTACTTTTTTACTATTTTAAAGATTTTTTTTATTAAAAGATTATTTTTAAAAGCCCCAAGAAAACTGTTCCAAAGGAAACACTAGTCACCACTTGTCAATAATATATATATATATCTCTTTTATTAAAAAAATTTAGAGAATTTTTTTATATATATTTTTTGTTCTTAATTTTTTTCTTAATAGAAAGAGGGGACATCCCCTTATATTATACAAGAGAAATTATTATTATAATTTTGTTGAAGGAAACAATTGATAATTTTTTCCCTTTCACATAATAAAATCTTGTACAATATATTGAGTTTGAATTTTGGAAGCATTGATTATTGTTTTCTGATAAAAATAACATTAAATACTATTAATAGAGTAGAGTTTAACTTGAAGATCGAAGATCATTAGTAAATTGAATAGATTTTTGGCTTGAAACGCTCTAAACTAGTCAAGCCATTTTTTTTATTTTTATTTTTCTAAACTAGTCAAGCCATGAGCTAAACTTTTGGTCCTAGATAGGATCAAATGTATATAAAAGTATTTGTCCCAAACGAAAGGCTAAATCCCAAATTTGAATAGCATGAAAAAACGATATATTTAAATTTAAAATGTATGCGCAGTCGGGATGCTGTAAGCCGCCTACATCGTGCACATATGTGGCGGGGATGGCAACGGCTGATCAGGAGGAGGACTGCTATCAATGGAGCAACGAGGCTGACGTTCTCTGCTACAACTGCGAATCTTGTAAAGCCGGTGTTTTGGAGCAGGTGAGAAGTGACTGGCACAAGCTCTCCGTCCTCAACGTCGTCGCCCTCATCTTCCTCATCGCAATCTACGCTCTTGGCTGCTGCGCCTTCCGCAACGCCCGCCGTGCTCTTTCCGATTATGCTTATGGAGATAATCGCATATCCAAGATCGGCCCTCGTTGGGATTACTACTGGTATGTCAATTTAAATGGTTAAGAGTTTTTTTTACCCCTCTTTTTTCTTTTGGCTTTTCATCGAACACCTTGGCTGCAGTTTCGAATTGCTTTGTTTTGGTTGTGATATTGATGCAGGGGACGTTGGTGGAGGGAAAGATGGGATCAGCTTTGGTGAGATGTCGTGTTACAGATGAGTTGATTTTAGATGTATAAATTGATAAGAATAGAGAGTATTTTATTTGAAGGTTTTGTAAATTACCAACTTGAATTTTTAAAGTTCTGCTACTATAACCAGCTATGGGGTCTGCTTTGTTGTTTATTCAGGTTTTGTCTGAGATCATTTTCTCACTGTTTTCTAGATACAAAAAATTTTTAGTTAAATTTTTTTTTAATTTTTTAATAAAAAGGTTGCTTTAAAAAAACGAATAATTTTGTTCTAAAAAATGCTTTATGAAATATTAAGAAAGCCGCCCCCAAACTAATCCTTAGTTAAATATTTTCTTGGCAAACATTGAAGCAATTCCTGCGCACTTGATACCAGAAGTTGGTGAAAACAAGGCTAGGGAAGTAGTAATTCTTCAGTTATATAATCAGAAATAAGGACATCAAAACAAAATAAAAGGAGTAGTTGCTCCTCACTCGAAGCTTCAATATAATAGAATTATACTTTAAACAGCTAGCCAACCAAACTCCCGTAGAACCATGTAATCATAACATTTCCTCCAACAAATTCATCTCCTCCATTGCCCTTCCGCACCTCCCTTTGCTACCTGCCTGCAACATCATGAATTCATGATTCAAAACTATGGCTATTATTTTTGTCCATTTATGTCCTCATAATGTGAATCCTCTTATCCATAAAATGAGGTCGTAAGTGCCCATGCAACTAATAATCTGTACAGAGAACATTAATGGTTTCCCTATAAGTGATCTTTCTTTCCTAGTATATGATGGAGACTTTGTCAAGGATGCTAAAAAAGTGTGAATGCTGCTAACTGTTGCAGAAATACTACGATAATCGGTCAAGAACTGAAGAACACAAGTGCAGGAGATTTGCTTTTGCTCTTGTCTACAATTTCCGTTTCTCTTTCTACTGAGGAAAAGGGAGACTCTACCTATGGTTTGGTTCGGTGTCTTGAGGATAATAATCAAAAGGGTCATTTTATATAGGATTCCCATAATCCCCTAACATGATATCTGCTCAATAATTCAATTTTAATGCAAGTAATTTAGGGCTTAGATTATACTCACACACATATGATCAATAGAAATTCTATGTTGCTTAATATAGAAAATATAATTTTCTAACAAATGAAAACATGATTTCAGTTTAGGAAATCGAATTTCCTAACACGCTTTGCATGCATGATTAGGGTAGAATTAGTTCACCTTTTTGTAGAGGGCATGGTTTCTGTGAAGATGAACGTGTAAGAATCTGTCTGACAGCTGAAATATATTGAAATTGTCCAAAACAAACTCTTTCTCACAAGAATCTCTCTCATACTCTCTCAAAAACGACAACTTAGAGTTTTGGCCAAAATGGAATTTTAGTAATTTTTGATATTTTTATAAATTGGAGAAACTTGATCAACCTCACACTCATGACCCTCTGTCATGATTGAAATCATTTATATCACATATAATTAGCTAAATAAGCCAGCAGGTCCTCAAATCCTACAACAAGCACGGTAAAGATGCAACATGCATGTCTAATATGTTCAATACCAGTAACTGTCATATGATCATGAATTAGTGCAGAGATGGTAAAACTCATTTACAGAAGCAGTTGAGTCGATAAACAGTAAAGTAATATGGTATGAGACCAATAAGACAATATAGATGAAAACCAGTAAACTAGTATATGTTTCAAAACTATAAAGCATTCGTCATATCAATACTATCAATTAGTGATAATTAGTAAAAAAATCATATAGATTAATAAAATCAAAGCATTGATAAAGACTATCATAAATCATATTAATGCAGTAAACCTGGAGCAATGATATCAATGCAGTAAATTGGGAACAATAATATCAATGTAGTAAACTAACAGCAGTAATCAGATCCTATATCAATATTCATTGTAGTATCATAATCACATGCTCAGTATGTTACATAATAAGTTAATCAATAAACAATACATTGAATAAATAATAGTAGCAACAATACTAATAATACACCAGTTGTAGCATCAATATCAGTATAAGTAACACTATCGATGTAGTATAGTAAATAGGTAAATGATATCATTAGTAATAGTACTGGCATTTGTATCAATGATAGTAAAATAGTGGTAGGAGCAATAAAATAATACATTAATACTAAATCCGTAAAGTAACAGTAAATACGTATAATAATATGAACAATGTATCAATAACATGCTTTTTAGTATCCACATTAAAGAAGTAAAAAGTTTTGGTTATCATAGTATTTTTCAGTATCTATAATTCGTAGTTAGTAACCATTGGCTAAGTAAATAAAGTCGTCACTCTTTTTCCCATCAGAACAATAATAACTCATTATAACTCCCAATTGTTGTATCAACAAAGGATAACATCCAATCATAGTATTTAAAGGAAAATCTGTCGGCCCACTATCCTGTACAGGTTAATCAATCTCGAACAAATGGATCAACTAGTTTTTACTTATTTTTCACACATCAACATCACATTTTTTATAGTAATAATGATCAGATATTACTCAACCATATGTCTATATTCATTCAAAATATTTATTTTATCAGTATGCTTAAATAAAAAAATACTTACTTATATTCAAAGAAAATCATACAAAATTTAATAACTTCTATTTTACTCGATGAAATTAAAAATGTTACTATCAAAATCTCCAAAATAGCCATTACGATATCATATAAAAAGTTACACAATAGAAGTTTAATAAATTCAGATAAAATACAATAAAACTAGTTCTAAGAAGAATCAAATGATTGAAATCAAAATCTTTAAAAGCAGAAATAGAAATAGATGCACCTTCCACAATTTAAGCAATTTCCACAAAAACGATGAAGCAATCCAACGACCAAAATCAAATTTTCTCTCTTTTTTTTTATCTCTCTTCTTTCCGTCCCTTTCTCCTATTCTTTCTTCAGCAAGGCATGACACTAAAATTCAAAATTTTTATTTCCAAAAAAATCATTTCAAAAATTCAAGTTTTGACAATCTACCTACCTTAAAAAAGTATCATCCCAAGCATTTCCCTTAATGATCTAGGCACAAAACTAATAAAAAAAAATTATATGATCAAAACTCAAATCGAATCGAAAATCAAATCATGATTTAAAACTTATTGAACTCAATTAATTATTATCACACACTCATACATTTCATTCAACCATATATCATTCACTTATGAAATTAATTTATGATGTATAATAATGCATTTTAATCTATTCAATCTACGTAGCTTAAAATCAATTTTTCATAGCTCTGATAAAAATTCAATCAATTCTACCAATAATTGCTCTGATATGAATTTTGTGACGCCCTAGAATTTAATTTGGAAGAATTTTTTAATTTATCTTTTATTAGATAACAATCAGAGCTATATAATTTCAGTTATTAATAATAAAATTTAATATCAACATAAACAAATTTTATTGACCATATATCTATATGTATCTCTATTTATTTCTTCAAAATCATATATAATATTCATGAATCATACAAATATAATTTCTCATTTTAGTCCCAAGTATAAAAGAATGATTATAAACATAAATAAATGACTAATGGTCAACCTATCTTAATTTTCATAAATATAAATTTTTTGATATTTTCTTAATTAATTTATAATTTCATAGCATAAAAATAAGGTTAACCTTACACCCTCTAAACTTTTATAGTGTAACTTTATGTATAATATATATGCGACTTTTCTGAATAATTAAGTATTTTTGTAGAAGATTTTTATGAGATAATTGGAAAAATAAATTATTTTTATAAAAATAAAAAAAATAATTTAAATCCCAAAAAAATATGTTATAACATTAAAGTTTAACACTATAGTATATGACTATATGTAAAAGCTACATAACTAAAAAATTAACTAGTCATGATTGTATAAAAAATAAAATAGCAAAATATCTATGACCTCAGATCCAATCTTGAACTACTAGTCCATAATCTCCTTCACCTTTCTCAGATACTGAAAACTAGAAGTAAAATTACAGTGAGCTATAACAGCTCAGCAAGTCACATAAACTAATATAAAATTTTAAATATTTTTTTATCAAATATTTTATTGAATATTTAAAAGTAATTAAATGTAGTTTAAATAAATCATTAAATTGAGAATCACTAAATTTGAAAATATAATAAATGTATAACAATTATTCTCAGATTTAAATAACAGTACAGAATAAATAAAAAAAATTAAAATTTATATCACAGAGCAGTTCTTATCACATGTCCTAGACCCAAACAGAATCTCAAAGGATTCTTGCCCGTTATGACTCCCTTTTTATTTGTTTATATAGCACTAGAGCATATCACATATTTCTGTCTCAGATAGAATCTCAAAGGATTCTAGCCCTTTATAGCTCACAGCAATTCTCTGACACTGCATAATCTAAAAGGATTTTTACCCTTCTCGTTCATAACATATATAATTTAATTACATATGCACATCTATCATCATATTATAATAATTAAAAAGTAATTGAGCATGTATTAAAACTTCACAGTATTGTACAATAGTAAATAACAGAATATCCAACTAAGCAAAAATGTACATTTTTAGAAAATTATCAAATTAATAGAGATTGTGTAAAATGATGTTTTAAGACTCTTATTATACCACACCACTATTTTTGAACATTCATATAAATTTTTATTCAATAAAACCCCCACAAATTTCAAAACCCCCGATGTAAAATTTCAAGAAAATATTCAAAATGTGCATAATCATAATCTCTATAATATACAAAAAGTTAAGCGATGAAAATTTTACCTATGCAAAGTTATCCACATTTTTTGCTAACATATACAAAATTTTAATCAAAATATTCACTAAATCTTGCCCATTTTTGAAAATCGAGATGAGCATAATGCTCCTTACCTCAAGATGAACAAATTCCCAATTGGGCCGATGGACAAAAATGGCATGAAGTCGCCTACAATCGGGTTTCCTTTTTCTCTCTCTTCTCTTTTTCTCTAATCTCATAAGTTTTCTCTATGTTTTGTAAAAAACGAAATAATGTAAAGAAATGGC